GGAGTACATCTCCCCTGCAGATTGGTGCAGGACCTCCCACAGCTTTGAGACCACATACCAATAGCTTCAAGTCCTGGGAAAACTCGAGAGGTTTCAGGGAGCAAGCACCTGGATCCCAGGTAATTGGATAATAATGGCCTATTTTTTATTCCAAAGCAAATCCAAAATCATTCTTCAGACTTCCCCAGCAGATGAAAGTTTTGATTTTCATCACCTCTCTCTGGAGTCTAAAGGCACCTGTATCTAAAATCCTGGGCTTTTTTTCCTATTAATATTTTACGTATGTCATCCCACCTGTTACTTTCAAGCAACATGGTAAATATTTTGCTAAATACTTACAAAGCATTACAAGACCCAGCACTAGAATAATTTGAATGTCTCTGCATGTTTTCCACAACTCGTCACAGTCAGGTGTTTTCTACGCTGTTCCCTCTGGGCTGACTTCCACCTCGGACTATGCTCCACCCAGCCTGATGGCAATCCGGGACCGTTATTTGAGATGAAGCTTATCATAGACTATTGGACGGCATGAGAAATATGACTGAATATATGACATCCTAGAAATGAAATTCACCCTGCACAAGAGGACAAGAAAGTTCTGCATAGCACAGAGATAATGGTTAATTCTCGTGCTGGACTTTTGAACAGGGATGAATTTTATCTCATCTCAAAATGAAGTATGCAATAGGGACTGACTAAATCCTTGTTGCTGATGCCAGAAAATAAAGGTACAGGGCTATTGCTCCAGGGACCTGCACCCTGAAGATTGTCTTCTTCCTTGCTTGTAGGTGGGCTTTCGTTCTTCCGACTATTGATGGATGGAGTGCCTCCGCACATCATTGATTCGTATATGCGTGAAATGCAGGCAGAAAAAGCTGAGGGGAAGTGAGAGTCTGTCCACAGTGTTTCCTCCCACTGCACTGGAAATTGGTAGCAGAATGACAGCTTTTTAGTTCTTGCAATGACAGAACAAACGTGTGGTTGGGGGGTTTATTTTCTTTTTTTTTCTTTTTTTTTTTTTTTTCCTTATTTGTTGTTTTGTTTTCCCTACCTGCTCTTCCTGAAAAGAAAGAATACGCATGGATTGCTTTGGGGTTGAACTTAAATGAACTGAAGACAACACACGTTTTGTAACGTTCAGCTTTATTTTCTGTTTGATATTGTGTTCTGTTTTTCAATGAGGAAAGAGGATAAGCTGTGTAATAAACACGAAGAGGCAGTCAGAGTTTGTACTCGGTACAGAGCCTATCTTTCTCAGACTGAAAGTACACGGATTAGCCAGTAGCTGTGCAATGAGACCCCTGGAATACTCTTCGATAGCGTATCTTATTCACCTGGGAATTATTTAACAGAATATGGTTTTACTAGAACGTAATTAATGCATACGCACTTAATGATCATTTAAGCTGAACATATCTTCCTTTAGAAGCTTTGATTTCCTAAATCCAACCCATCAGTCTCTCAACTGAACTGAAATTGTTTTATTTAATGTACAATAAATATGAAGTGTTTAAGATCTGTCAAGTTCTTGTCTACTATATTTCTTTAGTTCTTTTCTGTCTCATCTTCACACAGTTCTTGTTTGATTTCCACATACTGTAAAGCAGGAACTTGAGCCCACCACACCGAGTGGAAAACAGCTTCAGCAGTCACCAAACCCAATGGGCTTACACTTTAAGACACATGACACAGAATGTGAGTGAAGATAAATGCTATAGATACATGTAACGATGTATCTATATGTTTTCAATATTTTAAGTATTCTAAATGCCAACCGTGAAGGCTTTCACCATTCTGGATCTGCCCCCTTCCTCAGCAACTCATGGAGCTCTTGTAGGTATCGTAGCAGGAAAGGGACTCAGACCACATCACTAGCCAGTTTACCCTGCAAGGCAAAAATGCCTTCGATAAGACAAAACAGCCACATTACTTTTCCAACTCTAGCATCGTTGACCTCTAAGTACTTCAGGAGTGGGGGTGATCATCCGTAACTCTCCAGCAAACTCTGAAGCATGTGAGACACAAGGTCACACACAACTTGGCCAGGCTGTCGACTCCCTGTTGCCCTGTCGTTTATTTACCAGTTCTCACTCTGGCTGTATAGATAGGGTAGGTTATGTGCTTACTGACTAATGATTGATCTCCAATTATGGTTTATAAAGATAAAGGTCTACCTAGACCAGTGGTACATTCCAAGCTGGTTATCTGACGTCAGCGCATTTTCAAACACCCAGCAGCCAGTAATTACGCAATAATAAAAGAATGTGTTACTATGAACTGGTTACTATGCAGTGCCACTGCTGAACGTGTGTTTTTGCATTTGAATCACCACTTCTTTCACTTTGGGGATCTGAATACATTTTCTCACTTTGTTCTGTAAATCTTAGTCGCTCTGAGATTCTTTTTCTTCTTCCTCTCCTTCCTATCTTTGTGACTTCTTCAGTGCTGCCATCCATGCAAGGAAGCCATTCTCTATTCTCAGCGATCCTGGACACCCCCCCACCTGCATTTGCCCCTGCTGCTGCAAAACCAGTCCTCTCCTACACATTCATTCACACCTACACATGAAAGAAGGCCACACATCTGCTAAGAAGAAAGTTTCATAAAGGATTAATAATTTCTTTTTGTTGTGTATCTATCTCACCAGTGAATCCGATCCCCCTTCATCCGTTTTGAAGCACAGCAGGCTGTGGGAGAGGGTCAGTCTGAATATACGCTGTGCAGGTTTAAGCATTTAAGCACATGGCCCTCATCTAAAACAAGATCAGTCTGTTGAGATATATTATAGGCAGCCCCAAAAGGTAGAGTTACTGTGAGCCTGTGCTTTTCAGTAAGCCAAAAAGGATGTGCATAGCCATCTGCAATTTGTATGCAATGATGTTTACAGCTTCAAGCTTATGTATATATCTGCCTCCACAGTCTTAATACACCATACATAATAACCTGGAAGGCAGCATAAATCTCAGCTTCTGTGGACTCTCTGCCGACGGAATTAGCCACTCTAATTTCTAGCAGATGCCAGCAGTATTAGAAGACAAGCTGAGCTAAGCTACTTTTCACTGTGTGAACAGTCAGCTTCTGTTCAGATGCCCTTAATTCCTCCGCAGCTGCATCGCCCAGCATTTGCCATTGGCTGTGCCTTGGGCTCGAGGTGCCCCATGCAATGGGAAGTGCTGGGTATCAGCCCGTGGGTGGAATTGAGATGCGTGGGCATTAGTGTGCTGTAAATTCATACTCTCGCTAAGTATGTTGACCAGCCAAGACTCTGGATTAAAAATCAACTGAAAATTGCTTTGAGAAGAATGATAGGATGGGCTGGGATGGGAAAGGGATTTCTGGTAGATCTAAAACAGGCTGAAGAAGCTTGGACACAGAATAACAAAAAGTTTTGACTTATGATGATTCACCTAATGGGATTCCCCAGGAATGGTGTCTGATAGATGAAATAAAGTGAACAAAACCAGAGAGTTAAGAAAATGCTAATGAAATCTGCAGTTAATACCAGCTTGGGAGCATAAAGACATACCAAAGACAGCAAAAACTACAGGCAAAACAACCTAGAGAGAATAGAAACAGCAGAATATCATGGCACAGAAGATATGGCCCAATGGTCCCAAGAAGAAATTTCTCCAAAGTCAGCTCACATGGAATTTCCAGGAAATTCATGAACCTGAAAGAGACCTAGGAGTGACAGAGGACAGCAAATAAAACCTGGTCATGTGAGATAAAGCAACAACAAAACACAAAAGCTCCAGGAGAAGTGAAACTAGCAGTGCTTTTATGGTTGATGGTTGTGTTCCCTGATGTCTCATATGTGAAACCAGTTGAAGGCTTCAGCTAGTTGCATTACTCATCTGTTACGTACAATCTTCATCAACTAGTACGTGCTGAGGTTGTAGTTCAGTAGCACCTTCAATAAGGTTTTCCTTTTCTGCACACTTTTACATATCTGCTAGGAATTTAGTATTTTTGAAAGCTGTGCCTTGGTGTTGCTTGACTTACACAGGTCAAGGAAAGCTATTACTTGGAATAAGAATGTAGACCCAAACCTGCATATACAGATACACAGAGAAAGAAGAATCAAAGTTAATAAAAAAAGGGGGTTATTCTTAAAGAAGCCAGAGGAAAATATTTTGTCTTCTCTTGGTTTGCTCTCCCGGCCCATGGAAGGGCATTTGACGTATAAATGTTACTGTTGTATAAATACAGATCCATTCTCAAATTGCTGTACGTGGAGCTCAATACAGGCATTTTAGTTACCTGTTCGCATGGAAACATTGTGGCCAGTGCCAGCCCATTTTTCCCTCGCTGAAAACAATCTCGCAAACATAGAAAGGGGAGGAGAACAACTACATGCAAATCTTTTAAAGAACGCTTAAATTGAGATATGTTGTTTGTAAGGTGGTCTTTACTGAGAGTCAGAAATTTTTTTAAATTTTCCTTTTATAAAAAAAGCTTCAAGTTTCACTGCCCCGGGGGGGGGGGGGGGGGGGTGGAGCGCAGTATTGCTAGCTTTTACAGAGCATTGTAAGGGAAGACTTACTTTATGAATGTCTTTTGTTGCATTTTGAGATTCTGGAGCAAAAGGCATTCTATTTTAAGCACAGCGTACTTACTGGCACTTGATTTTCATGGCCTGCTTTCCTGACTGACAAGTAAAGCTGCTGCTTTGCTGAAGCAGAGAGCACTTGGAAGCAAAACTGTATCCTGAATACTAAGGAAGCGCTGGAAGTCTAAACACACCGGACTTTAAATTCTGTGTTCTCTTGTTCTATGCTTTGGTGCTGAACACTTTTTAAATTAAAACAAGCCCTTCCCCAAGCTCAGTGATAAATTCAGCAGGGAATCTATGTCTTCCTCTACTCACGTTGCCCTCACTTTTTACTCCTTTTTACTCCACTTGCTTTCCCCTCCACTTATTTTCCTAGTTTGTTTTCTCTTATTTTCCTCTTGGTATCACAAAGAGCTTGAGCAATCTGTCCATAAATACCAGTACCATTATGTTCATCGATGACAGCGATGCACGGGTACTAAAGTGTTTTACCTTTTTCCAAACCCAGTGATTCCAGTGCTCTGGGGATCTGGCCAGTTGTGAATCTGTCACGTTTCCCTTCTGCCATTCACTGGTTGGCTGTGACTGAATCTTCCTTTATTTACTACCCTCTCGTCTGCTGGCAGTTCCTCTCTTCTCTGTTTTGGCCCCGAATCCCAGTTGCCGTATCATACTGTCTTTAGTGATCTGGAAATGGAATCAGCCCATGAATGACACAGCACTTGGGAGGCACGTACCATGTCAAAGGATTTTGAAACCACCCTTTTGCTTGTGTCAAGCATTCCTGACCCTCGCAGTAGAGAAACTCAATACTCAATACTCATAACCGTATTAACTTTATCAGACAAAGCGATTTGGCTCCCTTTGAATAACAGGAAGCAGCTCTGTCCAGGAAACTGCTGCCTCTGCCCAGAAAGCTGCAGCCGCTGGTTTACAATGGAGTAACTGAAGAGAGGATTCCTAATTTTAAGAAGATGCCATCTGGGTATATAATACTCGTTAAGAGGTTGTATGTGACACGTTCGACTTCATCTTTCATACAGCCACACAGCGCTCACCTTCCCTTGGCCACATTCAGAAACCACCCCCCTTCCCGGAGCCTCACCACCTAAAACCCTTCACACGGCCAACTCAAATAAAATGAAGTGCCACGATTTCTGAAGAGGCACATTTGTTTCGAACTGGGTATATAATACTCGTTAAGAGGTTGTATGTGACACGTTCGACTTCATCTTTCATACAGCCACACAGCGCTCACCTTCCCTTGGCCACATTCAGAAACCACCCCCCTTCCCGGAGCCTCACCACCTAAAACCCTTCACACGGCCAACTCAAATAAAATGAAGTGCCACGATTTCTGAAGAGGCACATTTGTTTCGAAGCGCCTTCTCCAAGCGGGTCAAGGAGACGAAGGCAGTGCCGCGTAACACATCCCCTCACGGCGACGCCCCGGCCAACCCGCCCAGCAATGGGGCCCCGCCCTCGGAGCGCAGGAACGGGC